GCGTACACGTGCGTTCGTGGCGTGGCGGTGCGTGGCGTGTCGTGTGCACGTACACGTGCGTGCATGCGTGAGGGCGTACATGTGCGTTCATGTTGTGGCGCTGCGTGCATGTGCAGACGTACACGTGCGTGCATGAAGTGTGTGCGTGCGTGTGCAAGTGCAGTGCGCAGGTACACGTTCGTGCGTGCGTGGGTGTGCACGTACACGTGCGTGCATCGGACGTGCGTGCATGTGCGTGCATGTGTGCGTGCATGTGTGGCGTGCGATGTGTGCGTGCGTGCGCGTGTGCGTGCGTGTGCACGTACACGTGCGTGCGTGCGTGTGCACGTACACGTGCGTGCATGCGTCCGTGCGTGCATGTGCACGTACACGTTGGCGTGCGCGCGCGCCGTGTGCAGGTACACGTTTCGTGCGTGCGTGCGTGCGTGCGTGTGCACGTACACGTGCGTGCATGCGTGCGTGCGTGCGTCCGTGTGTGTGCACGTACACGTGCGTGCGTACGTGTGTGTGTGTGCAGGTACACGTGCGTGCGTGCGTGCGTGTGCGTGCGTGCATGCATGTGCACGTGCGTGCGTACGTGCGTGTGCGTGCGTGCATGCATGTGCACGTACACGTGCGTGCGTGCGTGCGTGTGCACGTACACGTGCGTGCGTGCGTGTGCATGTAGTCCTGCACGTGCGTGCATGAGTGTGTGCGTGCGTGTGCAATACACGTGCGCGCGTGTGCAGGTACACGTTAGTGCGTGCGTGCGTGCCGCGCGCGCGTGTGCATGTGCACGTAGGCGTGCGTGCGTGCGTGCCGTGCGTGCATGCGTGTGCACGTACACGTGCGTGCGTGCGTGTGCACGTACACGTGCGTGCGTGCGTGCGTGCATGCGTGTGCCACGTACACGTGCGTGCGTGCGTGATCGAGTGTGTGCGTGCGTGTGTACGTACATCGTACGAGTGCTGCCGCTTATCGTGAGGTTAAGCTAACTCGAGTTAAGCGTCTACACGGGCCTTAACTCGAGTTAAGGTAACTCGAGTTAGCTTAACCTCGATCGACCGGCGAGGTTAAGCTAACTCGAGTTAACGTAACTCGAGTTACCTTAACTCGAGTTAAGGCCCGTGTAGACGCTTAACTCGAGTAGCTAACTCGCACGATAAGGGGGGTCCGCGCTCGACAGTTCTAGTGTAACGCGAGTGCATGGAACTGTCGAGCGCGGACCAGTCTACGTATTTTATCGGCAGTTGGTGCGCATTGCATTGTTTATTTCGCATTGTTCGGTTGATTGTTTAAAACAGTGCGCAGCTCGCAAATATCGTATTTCTGGAGCCGCGAATCAGCGTGTGAACGCTTGGCCGCGTATTTGTCTCAGATACGGTATTTCGCAAATCCGGTATTTCAGAAATACGAGGTCTCGTGTGAACGAGGCTTATATTAAGATTTATATTGAGCAGTTGTAATACACACAATCACAGAAGAATATTAACAGGTGGACGAATATACAGCAGAAACCACAACCGGCATATAATTGAATCTGAATATCCCGATTATAATCCAAGTGAGAGCCATTTTATCAGCAATGGAAGTGTAAACATGCACGTTCCTATGTCTGCCATCCCATGCTTCGTATGCCTTCTTCTGGATAACTTAGCACGCTTTTTTGCACCTCAATTCGGGGGGAGGGGGCTAACCTAGTCCAGACTAGCGCCTATTAATTTTAGCCTGTGACTGTGTGTACACAATGCAAAACAGGCCCAGACCAGTTTGATGTTGTGATAGTTTGACTATAGTATGCCCACATTATAATCAGACTTCACCTAGTCGCCGTCCCAGTTACTACCCCTGTTTGCCATCATATGAACCAAGTTGTTTACACTATGTGAGTATACACTAGTGAACTTAAGATGAAAAGCGAAATTGCAGACACAATTTCAGACACTACTGTACTTTTATGTGACCCAGGGAAGGCTATCGATCCACATGCGTTTAATATCAAAAGTTGGCCCTGGCCTGGCCCTAGATTGTACACACACACACACACACACACACACACGCACGCACACGCGCGCACCCACAGATGCACACACGCACACACACACACACACACACATGCATGCACGCACGCACGCACGCACGCACGCACGCACGCACGCACACAATTTAATGCAGGATAGCTTACACCCCACCCCATACTATGGGTGATACAGACTGCAAATTCGATCCTACATCAAATTAGTCCAGGCATGTTTTTCATTGTGAATACACAGTCACACTACACACAATCACAGGCTATATAGGTGCTAGTCTGAACTAAGTTGGCCCCCTCCCCCCGAATTGAGGTGCAAAAAAGCGTGCTAAGTTATCCAGAAGAAGGCATATGGGAGGGCAGACATAAGAACGTGAATGTTTACACTTCCAAATTGCTAATAAAATGGCTCTCAATTGGATTATAATCGTGATATTCAGATTCAATTATATGCCGGTTGCGGTTTCTGCTATGTCCACCTGTTAATATTCTTCTTCTTCTGCTATTGCAAGTGCTCAGTATAAATCTTAAAAATGCTATCGGCAGTGTTGTTGTTTACCCGTCATTGACGGCTGCAGTATGACGTAACACGCTAAACTGAGCATGTGCAGTCTTGCCGTGCTAACTTAGCCTGGTTGAGTATTTTGTGTCCATACTCTGCGATTTAGCGTGAATCTGACACCGGCCTAGCCTGGACTAGTTTGATGTGTCAAATTTTTCAGTATGTAACAGGTATTACAGGATAATTTAGCATGCTCAGGCAGGCCCACCTCAATTTAGGGGGCTTACTTTGTCTGGACTAGCACGTATTCAGCCCGAGGTAGTGTGTACACACTGCAAAAATTTAATCCGAGCCTGGCATGGACTGATTTGATGTAGGATCAAATTTCCAGGTTGTACGGGTTGCTAAACATCCAGCCACCTTTAATTTGCTACTACACTGACGACTTTGACTTCGTAGCTGCCTACAATGACCTGCCGCTACGTAATCGGTTTTGCCCAGCATACACAGTTGAAACGCAAAATTGGCACATTAGTTCTGCTCTATGAGGTCGGTTTTTGTGGGTGGGTTAGAGTTGCTTGCTCTAGCCAAACGAAAGTATGACAATTAGTGAATTGACTGACACAACTTGCGTGTGTTCATACACATGTACATTCGTCATTAATCAATAGCGAGAGTATTTGCACATTAGAATAATTTAGAATTGATAATATTCAGGGTTGCGTCGCATGCCTATTTCTAGACGTGATGCGGCCATGATGCCGAGGCGCGCCGAGGATTGACACTTTGTGTCTTCCAATCACAGCCTACGCCGCACCCGTGTTGATATATTTATAAGGCAGGACCCATAGCAGCACCAAATTGCCGATCTCACGAACTAGGGCATTCTGCTAGGCTAGAACGGTTTCCTACGATAGTTTGGCACAAAAACGAAAATAACACGCTGTTTAGCGCACTGCGCTACGTCCTTCTGTTTCATTTTCGCATCTCCGTAATCGGAATAAGCCCCGCCTTCTTCGTTGATGGACACTGAATGGGGTGTCAACGACGTGACCCGTTACTGCGTGTAGGTGTTTGGCGAGACTGTTTGCTTTTCGTAAATAATGAAAGGCCCGGTCGATGCATTTTGCATCGAAGTGGACAAATTCGGCATTTTTACCCGCTTTCGGAAGTTAACGAGTGCGTCATTCATTGAACATTGAAGTTTTTCTTAAAATTAAAGAATTTCGAAAATCCCTGACCGCGCTACTCGATTGTTTTAGCCAAAGAACGTAGCTGTGTGTGTGACGTCTTACCCGCGCGCGTTATGCTTGGCTTACCGGGCGTCGAAATGGATATCGGAGGCAGCTAGGCACCTCGCAACACGCCTGTTTGTTTACATATAGCTTTGTGACATCAGGATGGGCGGTGTAGGGAGTTCTGCGATGATAACCTCAGAATTTCTCAGAATTTCTTAAAGTGCGTGGAACATTTTACCAATTTAGTGGTGTCAGTTAGTCACGGATATGTCACAGTAAGTACTGACCGTATATGTTTCACATACGTTCACCTATTTTGCACACAGGCGGTGGATCATTGTGAAAAATTGAGAAGAATTTTTATTGAGACGTTCCAAGTGCCTGTGCTTTCAACAGTCTTGTACGTCAATGCACGTGCGTCAAGAGCCACAAACTCAACACAATTTCATCTCTGTTATTGTTTACGCCTGAATGCGTGATTGATCAGGGAGGGGTGCATGTAAGAGGGAGACATTTTCTTTGGGGTTCCGAAAAACACAATTCCACTTGACAATTTCATGGGCCATTTCAATTGGAAGCTCTGCATAATTGACCCCCAACAAGCCCTTTGACTGACTAGTCAAAAAATTGAAAGGTGTGTATATTGCTCTTATTTAGCCGCCGATAGTTCTTATTTAGAACAAAGTCTTCATTGTTATCTTCTAAAACTACAGACCATATCCGCTGACCGCTGTGGAGACGTGCGCCGGCCCTCGAATTTGGCGCACGTCTCCACTGCGGACAGCGCTTCATATTTGAACATCCCCACGGTCGCGTGCGCATATCCCGTGGAACTGCGCGTCTCATCCGCGCACAGCGCTCGATCAGGATCCACAGCAAAGCTGTGCCACGCAATCTTGTATCATGTCTCTCTGGATGTGCGCAGTGTAACAATAGAATTTGTGAAATGTGGTACGTGAAATGTGGCACACACAGAGGGGGAATTAAGCGTTCACTGAACCGTACCGGACCAGGTGTGCAGGGCAACAACAAGAGTATGTCAGGGGGCTATGGGTTGATGGAGAACACGGTGGGCATAGGATGAATGAGTGGTGGATTGGTTTGAGGATGCTCTGTGCGGACACTGGGCGTACGACCGAAAATAGCGAGGGCCAGGCTCCGAGAAGAGAATCTTCGCCGGGTAACTCTTACCCGAGGTTTGTTGATGGGGTTGGGTTGATAGGGATTTTTTGACTTGCCATTCGTGCCCTGGCAAAATTCGAACCCCTGCACCCTGTTCCACCAACATGCATCAGAAGCACTGAGAAGTCTACATGATAATATGGCAGGAAATGTTATAGCTTGGGTGTATATTGCACATTGTAAGAGTGACATTGACATTGTTAGAGAGACATTGTTTTTGTGTTGACCACCGATATGTTTTGTTTTGTATTTTAAGTTCTTAAGGAAATTCACGCCGTTGTGTTTGTGTTGGCATTGGTATACCGAGAGTATTGGCATTGGAGCCAAGTGTATGTACGTGTGTGTTTTGATTGCCTTTCGGAAGAAACACTTACACTGCATGAATGGAGGCGAGTTGCTCTCATTCTGATGAAGGTAACAGAGTTGATGTATTTGCAGGTGACTATGTTCCTGGTGAGGTGACAGCTGAGCAGGTGATGTTGGCAGGTTATTCAGAACTGAGAATGATCATCAAGTGGTCCCGAAAGATTCCAGGTGAGTTATCACTGATCACAATACTAGTGCTGTCAGAGTCTCGGCACATATATATGCATAAAAATATGAACGTGCTTTAAAAAACGTAAATTCGTTTTGAGGTAGGTAGGATGAATAGGGTTTTTATTGGACGTTGTCATTTAAGATATGGACCAATATTCATGACCTGTAGTATAAGCTATAATTGTAGATCAAAATAGAAACTTCCGTTAAATATAAATTCAATAAATCTTATTACGTTTATCTTAAAATCAGAATCTGCGTAAAAGACACATAGATCCAACAACATCTGATCCATCTGAATTTTTAGGGTATTTGTTTTAGCATCGATGTTTATTGTCTCACTGAGATTTATGCATCTAAAGTATTGAAGTCCTATGTTATTTAAATGGGTAAAAAACTATTAGCTCAACTTGCATTGTTCAAGCGAGGGGCAGCACAAGTCAAATAAATGAATATCAATTGTCATGTTATGTAATATAGCGTTTATGAAATTCTATTTACCATTGATCAACAAAAAATGCTATGTAAGGTCATTTCTCTGCTTTGCTGAAACATAATGTTGAAATGTAATGACTTAAGAGTTCTCATTTAAATGTGTTTAATGTTTCATAATATAAACGATGAGAAAATACTGCGAGGCATTTCTAACTGCAATTAGAACTGCTAGTAAGTAACGTACTGTTGCTATATTTATGTGATTTGAGTTATTAAACATATTCTCACGCACACGCAAGCATGCACGCGCACACACGTTTATGTGTGATATATTAATGATTATATATTATATGATTATATATTATAGAAATTTATAATATATGATTATAGGTGTATAATGTTACAATTCAGGATTCAACGAATTGCTGTTGGATGATCAGATGACTTTACTGAAGAGCAGCTTCGTGGAGATCAATGTGTTCAGGCTTGCATTCAGGTGTGTCTGTTATATATAATCTTAGTAAACGTTGTTGTGTAGTAAATAAGTATGGAATACTGTTTTCAGATATTGCTTTATTCATACTAGGACGACATCACAAGTGATGGAGATCTGAAATACACAACATGATTAAACCAGTTAAACTGAAACACAGAACATGTGGTTGAACAAACTAAACTAAACTGGTACAGTCACAGTACATTATTCTCTATGTAGTTTAAGCTTACAGACATGTAAACGTCAATCTCATATAGACATTGTATGAAGTTCAAGGACAAAGGTTTAGTACTATTGCACTTTTTTAACAATAATGTTTGTTTCATAATGTCATCACAGAGCAGCTGTCTCGGTGGTATACCATTAGCCAAAGAAATATCACCACAAAAAACGTCCAAATATTACAAATTAGTTGAATGCAAACACCTATATTTGCTAAGACTTGCCATAAAAATCGATGTTCTTGGTATCGCTATCCATCTTGGACTCTCTTTGACTACACACATTAATCTTTGCTCTTTCTAGACTTGCATTCATTCTAGCAGTAGTAGTACCATCAGTAACAGTAGAAGTAGTAGAAGGAGAAACAGCAGTAGCAGAGCAGTAGCAGCAGTATAGTTAGATGTATCCTATTATGCTCATTGTATCAATCTAATTTGTCGAACACTCCAGCGTTTCGACGTAGTTTCGGCAATCGCTGCGGATTATCGCTCCGTAGAATTAGACGAAAGTGAAGCGATCCTCGCTGACGCTTGCTTGTTTTTTTCTGCATTGTAGATCGATGGATTGTGAGGAGGGCTACCTGATGTGGTGCAAGGGCTGCGTGCTGAGCGCCACTGAGTCAACGCGCCTCATGTGGGGTCGCGAGCTCGTCTCACTCGCCTCTGAGTTCATCGCCAGGCTGCGGGAGCTGGAGCTAGACGTACCAGAGTTTGCTGCACTCAGCGCTGTCGTGCTGTGCTGTCCAGGTAAGAGAGGCGAGCTAGCTGCATCGTGTTGTGCTATCCAGGTAAGAGAGGCAGGCTATAGCTGCATTGTGTTGTGTTGTCCAGGTAAGAGAGGCGAGCTAGCTGCATCGTGTTGTGCTGTCCAGGTAAGAGAGGCGGTCTAGCTGCATTGTGTTATGCTGTCCAGGTAAGAGAGGCGAGCTAGCTGCATTGTGTTGTGCTGTCCAGGTAAGAGAGGCGGTCTAGCTGCATTGTGTTATGCTGTCCAGGTAAGAGAGGCGGGCTATAGCTGCATTGTGTTGTGTTCAGGTAAGAGAGGCGGGCTAAATTTAGTCAGGGTGGTAGCCTAAATTCAATACATTTTGCTGTCCACTTGAGACAGGTGAATTAGTTTCAGGTCCTGGGGTCCTTGGAAGGTAGGTATGTTTAAATACAGTCGTGTTATGGTGTTCATTTGCCAGCCCAGATGGGCATACTTTAGTGTTATCAGGAGTCTATCAATATTGATAGACTCCTGGTGTTATGTTAGTAGCTTTCTTATGTTTCACATTCAGTGCTGTTACATGAAGCATGAATATTTGGAAACTATGTTATCTCCATCACTCACAACAAATTTAATTATTGCAACTGCATGTAATATTACATGCAGACATGTTAAAAATATGCATTTTTACATAAAACAAATACGATCATGTCAGCACCATGCGTCAGTGTGTAAACGTGGAATACGAAGATTTAGCTACATAAATTTGCAAAAATATGTCTTAGGAAAGCACGTGATTCGCATAGTTCCCACTCGACGACAAATATTTTGTGCAGAATTCTAAATGAATACATTAAATTGAAAGGAAGTGGGCAGCCGTTGTGAAAAGGCGAAAGGCATGACCACCTCATTGTCTGCGTGCGTGCCTGCATGTGTATGTGTGTATGTATTTATGTACCTGCGTGTGTCATTGTACGTGATCATCATATTTCACATCGTGCGTCGTTCTGCCCTGAACACGTTATAGGCGGGTGAGCTGTAGCTTACGTCGTTGTGTGGTCGTGTTGCGTGTCGTGATGCACAGCGGTCATCGCTTGCGTGCCGTTCCACAGATGCTGTCGGACTGAAGGAGAAGGAGTGTGTCTCTACGCTGCAGCGCCGATTCCTCGAAGGCCTGCGTATCTACATGACCAAGCGCAGCGGATCTCTGCGCTACGGGAAGTTGCTGTTGCGTCTGCCTCTGCTGCGTACCCTCAGCAACAAGGGACTCGAAAAGTAAGCAGCAGTGATTGATCCAACGTGCTGATTGGATTCCGGCTAATAATAGCCGTTCCGAGAAACTGGTTAATCTTTATGGATATAATCAGGAGTAGATAATAGGGAAGGAGTGTGACTTCATTAAACAAGGGAAATTCGTCATTTACTAGCCTTAGAATACCTACGATTTACTACGCGTAACTCAACCAACTTGAGCTCAAATCGTACACAGTACATTCGCCTAGCATCGTGCGAAATCGTTTCCTCGTATACACCCGCAATCCGGAGATACAGACTAAAACGTACGACACGATTATCCATTCTTTGGCCATCAATCTGAACGTATTGTCCGCCTAAATTGAAACAAAAGGCAGCTACTAACGCGCTCTTGCTCCCTCGGCGAGGCGGTGTGGCTTCCCTATTATCTACTCCTGATATAATGTAGAATCGTGTCTCCACGTCTCTCTTCATCATGTTAATGTATAGGGTACCTGGTAGCAGCAACATATGCATTGCAGTGTTGGGTGCTCCGAGATGAGTGTGAGTGGTCGTCGATGGCCAGTCATATAGGAAGACACTGAGACATGAAGTGTATATATAAGAGTGTAGCTTTACTTGACGACCTCACAACGAAGCTGAACACCCTCTCTCTTCACCACACTCTCTACCTCTCCACTGACTCGTTCATATCTGAACTAGCAATTGTTTGTCGAAGTTTCTATATGTATATGTATGTATATATATCAAGAGCTAATAATACCTAGAGTGTACAACGGAAAAACGGGAAAATAGTGCTATTTCACGACTACATTATTCTACTTTGCCTGCGAGTCTAGAATAATTTCATGGTATTGCTTTAAGCTGAATTCCTTGCTCTCTACAACAAGACCAACCGCTTGTCAATACGATACTCCTAGGCGGAGATATCGGCTCCTAAACCTCCCCTTCCACATGCCTTACGCCGCTTCGCATCCACTTTATTCAGCTACCTACACGCGTCTAAGCATTGCTTCGTGAAAGTTCGGCTTTTCCGCGATAACTTTATGAATGAACGGTGCTTCGGTTATCATAGATGACTTTCGGGGGCATCGCCTATGCCCTTATCTTCCATTATCTTTCCTAGCACGGCTAATGCCCCTCATGGTGGAGCCGGCTGCATCAAGTTTTTACAACGCAGCTCAGTTACTATATGGTGTAGTAACAGTACCAAATTTGGGCATGTGACATTAATTATCAGCGCTCCAAGGTGACGGAAACCGATAGCCAAAATGCTTAGACGCGTGTAGGTTGCTGAATAAAGTGGATGCGAAGCGGCGTAAGGCATGTGGGAGGGGAGGTTTAGGAGCCGATATCTCCGCCTAGAAGTATCGTATTGACAAGCGGTTGGTCTTGTTGTAGAGAGCAAGGAATTCTGCTTAATGCAATACCATGAAATTATTCTAGACTCGCAGGCAAAGTAGAATAATGTAGTCGTGAAATAGCACTATTTTCCCGTTTTTCCGTTGTACACTCTAGGTATTATTAGCTCTTGATATATATGTATATTGTTTAACTAGAAACTACAACAAGCAATTGTTAGTTTATTCTACTGACAATATTAATGCTGTAACAGACTATCTTCCTGTAAAGACCTCAAAACACCTCTTGTAATCATAGCGTCCTAAATAAGGGTCGAACAGGGCTTAAGGCCGAATATAGATAGTTTGATATATGATCTTGTTTTCGTTGTGCCTGGTCGTTTGGAGTGCTTTGTGAGAATTGCTTTTTCTCGAAAGTTTGTGTTGCTGTCTGTTCATTGTATCCTCTGCCACGAAGTCGGCGGGGATACTATGGTTTCATGTCTCCCCAGCCGCCGCCGCCGCCGCAGACAATTTCCCTTCTGCTCTATAACCTGACCCCTAATTGACCTAGCGCTACCAAACTTGGTATACTTACACATCTTGGGGAGAAGATGAGCAGCGTACCAAAACCAAGTCACTGCGACCTTTATTTGACCTTTACCTTGACCTTGATCATATTTCCCTTCCGCTCTCTAACTCGGCCCCTAATTGACCCAGCGCTACCAAACTTGGTATACTTACACATCTTGGGGAGAAGGTGAACAGCGTACTAAAACCAGGTCACTGCGACCTTTATTTGACCTTTACCTTGACCTTGATCATATTTCCCTTCCACTCTCTAACTCGGCCCCTAATAGACCTAGCGCTACCAAACTTGGTATACTTACACATCTTGGGGAGAAGGTGAGCAGCTTACCAAAACCAGGTCATGGCGACCTTTATTTGACCTTTACCTTGACCTTGATCATATTTCCCTTTCGCTCTCTAACTCGGCCCCTAATTTTACCTAGTGCTACCAAAACCAGGTCACTACGACCTTTATTTGACTTTTACCTTGACCTTGATCATATTTCCCTTTCGCTCTATAACTCGGCCCCTAATTGACCTAGCGCTACCAAACTTGGTATACTTACACATCTTGGGGAGAATCTGTGTCGCGTACCAAAACCAGGTCACTGCGGCTTTTATTTGACCTTGACCTTGATTATATTTCCCTTCCGCTCTATAACTCGGCCCCTAATTGACCTAGCGCGACCAAACTTGGTATACTTACACATCTTGGGGAGAAGGTGTGTCGCGTACCGAAACCAGGTCACTGCAACCTTTATTTGACATTGACCTTGACCTTCATCATATTTCCCTTCCGCTCTATAACTCGGCCCCTAATTGACCTAGCACGACAAAACTTCGTATACTTACACATCTTGGGGAGAACACGGGGGATACATGTAGTTGGCGACAACTGCCCTTTCTAGTTTGATTATGTTGTTCTGATAATTATGGGTGTGCAGGTATCTCGTTCACTTAGTTTTCGGTGTCATCACAGAGCATGTATTTATATGTAATTATGAGCCAAGAAATATTACTACATAGCTGTCAATCGTAAAGAAACAGCTATAATCGAATTGACTATATTAATGACATACATATAGTCAAAGATGTGACTCAGATGTACATTGGTGTAACGAATAATTCCCGTTTAAAACTGCCAGATGACAATAATTGTATGTATGTGGTTTGCAATTTTCGTAATCTTTGCATCGTCAATCAACAAAATTAACATAATGATCCGGAAATAATATCTAATAACGATAGGATCGATCAAAGCAAGCTAAGGTGGCAGTAATCGTAACAGCATGTACATGTGGTGTTGCTTTCCTTTCAGATATCACAATGCTCTCCAAGATGGAATCATTCCAGTTGATCAGCTGGCATCAGAGATGACAGACTGAGCAGAGAGGACTGCCGGGCAGCTTGTATGTGTAGCTCAGCTCCGCCGACGAAAATACACACAGAAACAGGTGAAAATCCAGGCAATCTCTGACCACAGCGGAATAGCTGCATCCCACATGTAATATGAGTGAATGTAGGTTTCGGAGCCATGTCGCCCCGTGACTATTACTCCATGGCGATCTGAGTCTGAATATGTCACAATGCCGTGTCAGTATTACGGTACCAATTCTTAATTATTTCGAACTCATACGTATGTACATGTTAAGAGGCCATGTAAGTGAAATGGATTAAGTGTTATTACTTAGTATTATCAGTTATATATCACCTGGCACTACACACTGGTAGCTTGTTTACCCCAAGGTCAGGGAATCTTGGTTGTAAATCTTGCAAGTTCACACGTAGAGAAACAAAAGTATTCATGTGTAAATAATTATGTAGGTAGGTTTGCCAGATATGCCAAGTGGCTTGTTAGGCTTACACAGTTGACTTTTTAACTCACAACACTTTCCATGCTCTGTTTCACAGATGTCAAGATATATTTTTAAGAAGCTAAGGTAATGCCTACCAGAATCCTGTTGTGTCACAAAGACAGTTGTGACTTTACGCTGTCTCTGTAAACTGCTTGTAGCTGCTGGCCACTGTGTGCCTATAGCAAAGTCTAATTTGTGATTAAAGTCCGCTGATTTTACTTGAAGTTACGTATGTTTCAAGCAGAGATGAGTTCTGGTGAAAAAGTTTATAGAGCCGGTGAATCTAGCTAGTGTGAGATTACTCAGTGATAATGCGTGTATCATGAGCGCCTGTGATTACACCTTTGGAAATAATTGCCACAATGATATGGTGGCCTTATTATTAAACTGTAAAACCGGGACAGGCGTGTGATAGCTTATGCTCCTCATGAGAGGTGTCAAGTTTTCTAGGTGGCTTCAAACAGCTAAAAACTGGGAAAGGAAGTTTTTTCGGCCAATATAGTACCAATGGTTAGTAGATAGGGACTACCTGGCTAGGAAGATTCAGGTACTTGCTCAAGGGTGGAGGTAAACACAAAAGCATGTCTCATCTCTATGAGTGGATTAAGGGGTGTGGTTGTTGCATTCTTTAGTAGGCCAGTGCGGCGATGGCGGTTTTATCGCTAAAAGGAACGTCATCGAATGTTCCAATTTTGGGCTAACCGATTTCTCGCAATTATGTTTTTTTAAAGAATTATCGAGTATGTGAACATATGCTCATTCAGTAATAATTTCATTGATGGTTGGTTACAAACGCGGAGATTTGTCAGAGTCTATAGAGTGTCAACGTGACAGGTAAACGATGTTTCGTGATCACATAACGGAGAATCGTCGAGAATTTCGATTGAAATGATTTCACCTGCAGTCACTGCGGTCACTGGAAACCCTCAGCTTTTCAAGATACGCATGGCAACCCTACTGTAGAGTTGTGCGTAGTAAAGTTGTAGGACCCGAATGAGCTGGATAGAATGTCATGATATATTTAAGGACTTCTTCAATCCATCGAACTGTAGTGATTGTAACTAGACCCGGTATGGATGCGTGGAGAGACAGATAGGTTAGTACTTGTTAAGGCGTAACAAACACTCAACGCGCACACAAACACTGAAAAGACATGTCGTCGAATCGGCTGCAATGTGACACGACTGCACTGAGGTGCACTGATGGAGGAGAGCATGGCTCTCAACGTGCGCTGTCTGAATCCCGTAGTCGCTCTTATGCTGCTGGCGACTTAAGCCTAGCGCAACAGCGATTCTAGAATTGCTGTAAAAAATGCTGTGAAATCGCTACGTCTGCGGAAACGTGCAACTGCAACCAGTAGCGATTCTGGTCGCATGCAACCAGTTGCAAGAAATCAAACTGTTTTGATTTTGAGCAACTTGTCGCACCCAATCGCTAAAAAAATTGCTCTAGAATTGCTTCAAACTCGCATGTGTGCGCACACGCGGTGGGTGACACATCGATCGATCACTTGCGGTTGCAGGTTGCAGCGACGAGCAACCAAAAATCGCAGGTCTGCGTCAGCCTAGTTTAGAATGCACTTGTTGAAGCACACGAGCATAGCTGCCTCGCTGCAAATGCACGTTAGGTGTCCGCATGCTACTATAGACGTTATCTCGTTAGCTGTTCTGAATGGTTGGTGCACGTTTTTGAGATTTGTCTGTTCGCATCATCGCGTGAGAGCAATGGCTTTTATGTGCGTGCGTGCGTGCGTCCGTTCGTCCGTCCGTCAACAGTTGGGCACAAATCTTAACCGTTCGACGTACGGTCACGATATTCGGGACATTGGGGGGATCGTCAAAACAAGTTGGGATGTCGAAGCTGGGGGTCAAAGGTCAAAGGTCAAGAGATGTAAAAGAAGGGGGAACATTCCCTCCTTAACTTAAGGTATAGGGAGGAAATGCAGAATTGCGGCAGAAATCTAAACGGCTCATCCTAGGCTCGTGATAGTCGGTGTATAGCATCATGGTAGGAAAAGCCATTACTGTGCCGAAATTGGAGGTCACAGGGCAAAGGTCAATGGGGCACATGGCAGATTTTAGACATTTTCTGAGGACATGGTCTGACGGAGCGATTGAAAAACTTTTTTGTTTCAGCGGTGA